CATATTAGTGAAGGGTAGTGGGTAATCTCAGTGTAGTGCTCAGTTGCTGGAAGGTTGAGATTTCCACAGAGGTAGTAGGTAGATCAGCTTTTGTTGAATGAGGATTCATGTTCTTGGCACCATGCATAACCTCCATCTCTGACAACGTGGCCACATTGTGAATGTGTCAGTGTGCTTATACTACAATGTGCTCATACGACAATGGCTGATGAAAGAGACTGGTTTTAGTTTGCCAAGCCATTCTGTGTACTGGTTTCTTTAGCGCCTCTTCCTTAGTCAATTGTAGAGTGTCCATAAACTTATATGTCTATTCCCCAGATTTCCTTGTCCCCAGTTGTATTAGTTTTCTAGGGCTGCCATAAAACAGAACATCAAAGACTGGGTGGCTTAAATGACAGAAAATTTTCTCATAATTCTGGAGGCTGGAAGTTCAATATGAAGTTTGCAATGGGCTTGGTCTCTTGTGAGGCCTCTCCCACAGCTTGCAGACGGCTGCCTTACTCCTGTCTTCACGTGATCACCACACTGCTTCCACATGTTTCTGGTGTCTCCTTGTGTACCCAAATTTCCTTTTCTTATAAGAGCACCAATGATGTATCACTTAGTGTTGGGCAATACATTTAATAAGCAAGTTTCAGAAGTAGAAAGAACACAAAAATTATTGGGAAAACTTTTTTAAAAATCTCATATCTAAACCAGGATTTTAACATGAATAGAAGCTCTTTAGGTGGACAAGGGTGGGAAGTGGTCATTTGAAGCATAGGGAACAATGTTGAATACTATCTTGAAGTTACTACGTTGTTGATAAAAATTAATTATCAATTTAAGGTTTAATTACAAGGTTTTATTTCATATTAATTTTAAATATTTGTTTTTCTGGTCAATAACACAATAAGAATAGAAAATTACAGGCAGAGTCTATTCAAGACAGCCACCCTAGGATAAGGGACAAATTTTTGTATCCCAGCCTAATAAAAGAGAGAAATGAGATAAACTCTAAAAAGAAGATACAGACATTGGTGACGATTTGAAATAGAGGGAGTTATGACTGTAAAAAAGAAAATAAGAATATCAGGTGATTACATGGCTTTTACAATTTTAGGCTATTTTTCCATCTGTAAAGTAAAATTCATGTTAGATTACAAAATCACAGCAAAGCAATAAAAGATAAATGTATGTTGACCTATGGTGTGTGAAGCAAGGTTGTGAAATAATAAGACAACTTAACTTATTTTTCAGTAAGTCTCCTATGATTACTTATTTAGATTTGATCTAGTTTTCAAAGAAATGGAGAGAAAAATATAAGTTGGCTAAGGTCATTGTTTTTCATAATGCGAAACTTGAGGAATAACAACTAACATATGTAAAACTTTCAGTTTAGGAATAATTTTCTCATCTATTATTCTTAAGACTTTTATTATAATTCCTTGAGTAGGCATAGGATCTGACATAGTTACTCCCAGAAATGGTAAATAAGTGTTTAAGATCTAAACATAAGTGTATGGTAGAAACCTAAAGAAATCTGACTCTGACTGCAGATGAAGTAGTCTCATCATCACAACATACTGTCTTTTCTTTTTTTAATTTAATTTAATTTTATTATACTTTATGTTCTAGGGTACATGTGCACAATGTGCAGGTTTGTTACATATGTATACATGTGCCATGTTGGTGTGCTGCATCCATTAACTCGTCATTTATATTAGGTATATCTCCCAGTGCTATCCTTCCCCCCCGCCAACCCCATAACAGGCCCCGGTGTGTGATATTCCCCTTCCCGTGTCCAAGTGATCTCATTGTTCAGTTCCCACCTACAAGTGAGAACACACAGTATTTGGTTTTCTGTTGTTGCGATAGTTTGCTGAGAATGATGGTTTCCAACTGCATCCATGTCCCTACAAAAGGACACGAACTTATCCTTTTTTATGGCTGCATAGTATTCCATGGTGTATATGTGCCACATTTTCTTAATCCAGTCTGTCATTGGTGGACATTTGGGTTGGTTCCAAGTCTTTGCTATTGTGAATAGTGCCACAATAAACATACATGTGCATGTGTCTTTATAGCAGCATGATTTATAATCCTTTGGGTATATATCCAGTAATGGGATGGCTGGGTCAAATGGCATTTCTAGTTCTAGATCCTTGAGGAATTGCCACACTGTCTTCCACAATGGTTGAACTAGTTTACAGTCCCACCAACAGTGTAAAAGTGTTCCTATTTCTCCACATCCTCTCCAGCACCTGTTGTTTTCTGACTTTTTAATGATCACCATTCTAACTGGTGTGAGATGGTATCTCATTGTGGTTTTGATTTGCATTTCTCTGATGGCTAGTGATGCTGAGCATTTTTTCATGTGTCTATTGGCTGCATAAATGTCTTCTTTTGAGAAGTGTCTGTTCATATCCTTTTGCCTACTCTTTGATGGGGTTGTTTTTTTTTTTTTTTTTTCTCGTTAATTTGTTTGAGTTCTTTGTAGGTTCTGGATATTAGCCCTTTGTCAGATGAGTAGATTGCGAAAATTTTCTCCCATTCTGTAGGTTGCCTGTTCATTCTGATGGTAGTTTCTTTTGCTGTGCAGAAGTTCTTTAGTTTAATTAGATCCCATTTGTCAATTTTGGCTTTTGTTGCCATTGCTTTTGGTGTTTTAGACATGAAGTCTTTGCTCATGCCTATGTCCTGAATGGTATTGCCTAGGTTTTCTTCTATGGTTTTTATGGTTTAAGGTCTAACATTTAAGTCTCTAATCCATCTTGAATTAATTTTTGTATAAGGTATAAGGAGGGGATCCAGTTTCAGATTTCTACTTATGGCTAGCCAGTTTTCCCATAATCATTTATTAAATAGGGAAACCTTTCCCCATTTCTTGTTTTTGTCAGGTTTGTCAAAGATCAGATAGTTGTAGATGTGTGGTATTATTTCTGAGGGCTCTGTTCTGTTCCATTGGTCTATATCTCTGTTTTGGTACCAGTATCATGCTGTTTTGGTTACTGTAGCCTTATAGTATAGTTTGAAGTTAGGTAGCATGATGTCTCCAGCTTTGTTGTTTTGACTTAGGATTGTCTTGGCAATGCAGGCTCTTTTTTGATTCCATATGAACTTGAAAGTAGTTTTTTCCAATTCTGTGAAGAAAGACATTGGTAACTTGATGACTGTCTTAAAGACAAGCATGAGTTTATTCCAGAGATAAAATGGAAAATCTTTGCTTCTGAGAAGCAAACTTGAGGAAGGAATTTGAAAATAACAACCATCACCACAACAACAGTGTTCATTATAATTTTTTTTATTTTGCTATGTTCATAATGCAATGTGAAAGTAACTAGTGATACTTCTTATTTACTCAATATGTGCTAGACATGTTGGTAAGCTTTTTATGTGTATTATCGCATTTAATGTTCTCAATATTTCCATATTGTAGGGAAAAATGGTGCACTGTATAATTGCTAAGAAATAATGACAGTAAGAAACACAAAAACCTGACTTCCAAAAAAATCCATCTTAATGACAGTCCAAGATGAAAAAAAAATAACTTGTCAAATCCTAAAATAAAGACTTGCTTTTTGCTTAAGTAACTATCATTCCACCTAAGTTTGTAAACCTCAACAAAATGCCTGACTTTTTTAGTTTTTAATTTTGTGCACTAAGGCATAAAGCAGATATGTAAAATTGTTACAATATTAAGAAAATAATGAAGGGAGAAGAAAAAAGGAAGGGGGACAAAAGCAAGGGAAAGAGGAAGGGAGGAAGAGACAGAAGGAGGAAGCAAGGAAGACAAAAAGCTCTTCCTGTTCACAACTTGTATACTACAATAATATCTATAATTTAGACTTGATATCAGAAATGCAAGCTGAGATTAAAGGAAATCTTAGGTTGACATATTTAAAATTGCTGATATTTCACTACTTTTCTTTTTAACAAAAATGTCAATTTCCTCAAGTTCCAAATAATATAAATAGAAATCATAAAGGTCAATACCCTTTGGTAGTGACAACTACAAGCAATTGAAATACTTTTTCTCAATCTGATCATGAAATATGTACCTTAGATTTCCCTGGACTCTTGATAGTATTTTAACATGAAATCTCAGTTGACGGCCTTCAATCACTCTGAAGTCATCAATCTAAAGTTTAAAACTTGTATTCCTTACTCACCTTGATTATGTCAATAAACATAAATGCTCTATAAATATTCTGGAAATATTATTAAAGAGGAAAACAGTAGAATAATTTTCATCACTAAATTTTTAGTTTGATATGAGAATGGCAAGTATAGGAAGATGTTATAAAACTGCTGAAAACTATAAGAAATACGTTATTAGATTCCTATTTGAAATATATGTATGGGTAGCTATGCTACGTTTTCGATGCTAAAACATCAATAAATCTATCAAAGATTAAATTTACTAAAAATATAAATTTCGTTGTATGGAGAATTTCATTAAACAGTGAACTTCATTAGAAATAAAGAGAATAGAGGTGGCTCCGTTCATGTAAATTTCCTTCAGGTCACCGGGGAATATGCACCAGCATAATTCTCAAACTTATTTTAAAAAGTAAATCACATATAAGCTTTTAAGAAAAATGCATATTGTAAATTCTTAAATAAAATAGATAATAAATTTAACATTGCAAATGCTAGGAATAGTATAGAATTTTCATATTATTATGTTATAAAAATTAAGAAAAGCCAGGAATGCAGGTATAAGTTAGTGTGTTAAATATTTTAAGCTATTGTAACCCATGTAAGCTTAGAGTGACATTCTGTTATATTATTAAATATAAATTATAAAGGAAAACAATGCATCTGAAAAAGCAACTATATAAATATACCTAATTAGAAGCTGTAAGTATTTGTTTATATGGGTAAAAAGTATGGTGCTTGTATGTATAACTAAATAGAACATTGATATAAAGTATTTAATAAGAAGCATGGGTTTTGGTCAAGCAAAGTTGGAAAAAGGATCATTTGTAATCACAATAGTATATATTCTTTCTTAACAGGTGCCTTTAAAGGATTGCCATTTAATGCCATTCAAGATCTACTAAGCATCATTTTTGCATGACTACTGCAAAAGGATTACTTTACAAAAACCAGTTCCTTTGTCAAGAGCATACTTTGGACCCTGTTTTCAGAAAGCAGGTACAGTTCATCTTTATTTAAAATGCCTATAAAATTGAAAGAAATGTTGAAAAAAAAATAAGATTCATGCATATCCTTAATGGAGCTCCTAATAACAACTGCTGAATATGCTAAAGCTTAATATGTTATTTTCTCAAATTAAGTGATTTTTCTTTGAATTGAAAACACCTAGATTGTGTCAGTAACATAAATGCCCTACAAACATTCTGCAAATATTATTAAAAGTGAAACAAGGTAAAATATTTGTCCTTACTAATTGTTTAGTTTGATATGAGGATGGCAAGTAAACGAATGTGTTATAAAATTGCTGAAAGCAATAAGGAAAACAGTACTCAGATATAGCCTCCTGTTCCATGATATCTTTCTCAACTGACATATATAATGTGCTAGTGGATGGCTTTTGTGCTTTTTTATGTGCTTGAATTTTAAGGCAATGCTTAAGTTAAATAAGTAGGAAGTCATGGGTAGAGAGAGGTAGAGTCATCCCCACCAGGAAAGGGGATCTCCTGAAGGAAGATGGCTTTTATGCAGTTTGCACAGCAGCTCCTCATTGTTACATATTTACATAACCAATAGAAATTACTAAAGAGCAATTACACTTATTTTGAGTAAAACTGGGCATAGTGTAAATAATAATCCTTTAAAATGAATACTCTAAAATACTTTGAAATACATCATTAGACGTTTGTTATTTACGACTAAGTGGTACCAGTAGACTATCTTGAATTAAATCCATTGTGTGCTACTTAACTACAATACTTCTGATGTACTTTTTAAATAATCAATCAAGAAGGTCAGTACACTATGACTCTAGAATGATTATCTTAATCTGCTTATTTATAAAATGTTGACAATAGTGTACCCAATTTCAAGACTGTCACATGTTTATCCTTTAATTTGTTAGGTTAATCCAGGTTAATTGATTCAAAATAGGAGAGGAGTTTTCTCATCCTACTCTATGCTTTCAGTACCTTCAAGCTTGAAAATTAGCATTAAAGAAGAGAAGTTACTAAATGTGGGTGTGAGAGCGGTTCTTTTGGAAGGTGTAGGAGTCTAAAGTTTTACCATGGTATTTGATTTTACTTTCTACTAGCCACACTAAAATTTTGGCAGCTCATTGCAGAAAATGTTACATTCCATGTGTCTTTTATTCATTTCATTAAATCATGCCAGTCTGTCATTTCGACTGCAGGCCCTAACTGTACCAGGTATCTCTAAATTAATCTTGTGAAGAAAAGCAACCACATTAAAAAAAAAATTAAATAGAAAGTATAAAGAAAGGGAAGGGGAAGTATCTAACAGTGAAACCACAAATCATGTGAAAAAATTGAGTTCCATATAAATTAATCCATTGCTATTTTCTAACATTAGCCAGATTGTAAGCCAAATTTTGCCATCAAAGTTCTGTTTGTTACAATAAGAAAGATTTAAGAATAGGTTACACACACAAAATAATAATAATAATCTCTATTCTGTCTGTAAACGTAAACATCTTGGAAGCTGTTATTTCCTATGTATAAAGCATTTTGTTCTTAACTCACAATCGTGGACACATGTTAACAAATCAAACCCTAAGTTTTGTTTTACATCTGAGATATCTGTGAATACTAGAGATAAATTAAATCTAAGCATCTTAATTGAATTTAGTAATGTTAGAACCAAGTTGTTTATGATGCTTGTGACATTCAAAGAAAGACAACCAAACCACTGAACACATCACAGCAGCTGTATGTAAGAGGGTTACAGATCTAGTGCTCACTTCCAGATGGATGATGGATATGCAATTTGAATTTATACTAGACACATCAGCAGATGGAAATAGAATAGAGTAAATGTCTTGGACACCTGTGAACTGGTGCATTCTATCAATTACCAACCGAACTGTATTAAATTCATGTAGTTCAACAGAAGTCTAATTAATTTTTTAGAAGAGGCTCTTTGTCAATCTATTAATAAATTCAGGTTTCAAGTTGAGGTTGTAGAGTGTATTTAACTGCACAGAGAACCTGTAGAATCAGGTTTGGCAGAGCAAAGTGCACTCTTATTATGTCATTTTTGTTGTTGCTCCTTCCAACTAATTGAAAAGCATATTGGTAGAATAGGAAGCAATTGAAACAAATGAGACAAACTGAGCACTCCAAAAAGATGTAAGTGAATTAGAATTGATGAATCTGATGAGAGTGGATTCACAGTGTCACTTTAAATGAAACACCATTTCATTCATATACTTGCACCTAATCTGTCACTGTAACAACCGAAAACATTCAGCTGCAAAACTGACAGTTTCATCTTGACATAACCAACTCAATTCCTGCCATAATAAGAGGCAATATATATTAAAAGGGGTCTTGAGTTCAGCCTTTGAGAATGAAATGTTCCACTCAATAACTTATAGAACTCATCCAGGAGACACTGGCTCAGCTCCAAGAGGAAGAGCTTTATTTCATTAGAGAAGAGTCTGAGTGGCTCTAGGTTTATAGATTTTTAGCATTGCCAGGATTCTCATCACCTCATGAAAAGAAACCTCTAAGTAGCAATGTATGCATCTCTTAGAGAGTATTACAGTTGATAAGAATAGAGTAGAATGTGCTCTGAATTTCAAAAACAGGAAATCTAATTTTCGTCTCTAAAGCTCTTGACAATTGCATAGAAATTTGAAAAGAAAAACTTTTCATATTAGTTGCTACGTAAGTATTGTGTAAATTAACAGTGCTACTACTTGCCAAAATGTTTACAGTGTGGCCATAATTGACAAAATAATGAAGGAAGGTGGATGGAGACAGTTTTGACTGAATCTTTGAAAGAATTTCCTAGCAATTAGAGTGTCCACAGAAATCTTTCAAGGGTCATGTGTCCAGATGAATGAAAAGTGTAATTTCTTATCATCAGGAAGGGAGATGGAACAGTTCCACACAAAATTGTTATTCAATAATAAAATCTTTGAGGTGGTTGTTATAGACATCTGTGTTTTACCACTTGTAAAAATTGGTTATTTATTTTAACTATACTTATAGTTTTTTGTCTTTTAGAAAATATTGTTTTGAAGTATTTTATAGGAAAATTTGTTATATGAAGTATAAAAATGCCTAGTCAAGTCAGACACGGTGGCTCATATCTATAATCCCAGCCCTTTGGAAGGCTGAGACGGACAGATCACCTGAGGTAGGGAGTGTGAGACCAGCCTGACCAACATGGAAAATCCCGTCTCTACTAAAAATACAAAATCAGCCGGACATGGTGGTGCATGTGTGTAATCCCAGCTACTTGGGAGGCTGAGGCAGGAGAATTGCTTGAACTCAGGAGGCGGGGGTTGCACTGAGCCAAGATCACACCATTGCACTCCAGCCTGGGCAACAAGAGCAAAACTCTACCTTAAAAAAAAAAAAAAAAAAATCTAGTAAGATGAACCAAAATAGAATGGCTTAAATAAATATATGTATCAGTTGATATGAACATTGTAATCTGAGTTTGCATGAATTTCTTAGACAGCATTTATCTCTATCTGCCAGTTGTGGTGGTGGGAGGGGGTGGTTCAAGTTGGATATCGATGGATTATTTTCAATATCAGCCTATCCATAGGAAATACGTTGGTGAATTAGTGTTTTCCAAGTTGAAGTTCCTAAGGATATGTAAGAAAACGGAATTTGCGCAAAGCAAGAGGAAGAAAAATAAGGAATACATTTTAGTGTGATAATGTAACAGATCATATAGGCTTTCTAGTACATACATTTTTGCTAGTGTGATTCAAGGCATCTACAGGTTGAAAACATGCAAACACTTTCGTTAATATGAATGTATGCACAATACCTCATATATGATACTTGCTCAGCAAATATTAACCTTTATTTAATATTTCTATTGTGGAAATAACTCATGGAAACAGGAAATATTTATTTTCTGGAATAAGTTTTGAGAATAAGAAAATTTCCATCCACCTCTGCTTACATACAAGCAATGGAACTGTTAGTCTCAATGCTTAGTCACCTGAATACCTCAAGGCTATACTACAACATAAGAAGGGCTCTATCTCTTCATGATGGGTCTGAAATTCAGTTCGTCTCTCTGAACTAAGCTTAGTAGACACAGTGAATCCCAGACAGACAAATTCTTAACTAGATACAGAATTCTGCTTAGAAACTGTCACATTTGCTGAGTGTATTGAGACAATTCTGACAAATGGAAAGATTATAGGCTTTGAAATAAGTTAAAACTAAGATTGACTATCTGCTCTAATATTTGCTAAGTGAAGAACTTGGCTGTATCTCAATTTTTATAAACCTCAACTTTCATTTGACTGTAAAAAGTGAATACTATCTCATTTTTGTAAGGGTGCAAAAAGTTCACACAAAATCTATCTTATCTATATCTGTACATATACAAGCAAAGACACACACACACACACACACACACTCTTATATTTAAAACTTGGCATCTGAAAAGTGTTTAGCAGATGGTTATTATTGTGATAGAGTGAGTAACATACATTTTTAACCACTGAGTGGACTGAAACTTACTGAAAGTCTTGTAAGACTTAAAAAAAAAAAAAAAAAAGGAAAGAAGTACATCAGGAAACAAGGGAAGAAAGGAGGAAAGAAGGAAACAAAAGAAAGCAGGAAGGAAGGGAGGGAGGGGAGAGAGGAGGGAGTCAAGGAGGAAGCGAGGGAGGAAAGGGAGAAGGAAGGGAAGGAAGGAGGAAGAAAGGAGGGAGGGAAGGAGAGAGAGAGAGCCAAGGGGGAAGAGAGGGAAGGAAAGAGGGAGTAAGGGAAAGGAAGGGAAGAAAATATAGATTTAGCCCTTTGGGCATTCATATTTGCATTCTGGGGCTCTTGGGGGTTATAAGACTAACATAGAAAAATGATACATTCCTATCGATCTGTCATAAATGATTAGAAAATGGAATAACAAGAGATGTCATGCATAATGGAAATAATGATTGTGTAGTATTGTGCTGGATTTTGGGTTAGTACCTAGCATTCTTTCCTAAGTCTTGTGCTCTCCAG